AATTGACACAGCTTCCGTGCACTCCATGAAGAGGTGGACGTCCTCAAGGGTGTACTGAGCCAGTGTGAAAGGGAGAAGGAGCAAGAGGCCTCCAGAAACACTGGCCCGTACCTGCCCCCTGGTTGAGGCCTCAGACTGAATTCCCTGAGATCTCTCCTCCCCAAGGACACGGTTGGGAATGCAGAGCTGGCTATGGTTTACTGTGCGGTGGGCAGTAAAGATCTTGATATAGAACAAATCCTCCATTTCCTGGCTTGTTATATCACTATGTCACACATGGGCATACCTGAATACACAGACATATCAACACATATATAGTCAGACATACACACCAACCATCATCCATGCAAAATCACATCTGTTTACACACTCACGTTTGCACTCAGGGATATGGACACACACTCAAATGTACACACAGTTACTACACTTCCATACTCTGCTCTTTGCAGGTGTGTGCTTCACAAGTACTTCATACCTCACCTGCTACCTGCTCTCTTTTTAGGTTCTTGTGCCCATCAAGGACTCCAGAAGGTCGGCAGACCCTCTGTGGTGCAGCTCAACTGGAAAGGCTTCTCAGGTAAGGCAGATGCCTGGGGCCGAGACTCAGCACCCAATTCAAACTCTTCCCTCTATTGGGTGGCTCCTCTGGATATAAATTTCGGGTGAGTCAAGGATGATTTTTCTTTTGCAACCAGGTTCAATCCATATGTTCCCTACCCTACCCAACAGGTTACTTTGTAACCCCAGCTCAGCTTTCTCTCTGTATTTCCCCTGATACACTTAGCCTAAGTCTGCCAGGTTACCTCCTACTGCTCCTCTCATGGGTTAAGAATGACCTAGACTGCCCTAAGCTTCTCTCACAAACGCGCTGTATAAAATTTCTAATCTCATCATAATACAAAACTGGTTCTCTCCCTACCGTGACCTTATCTCAAGAATGAACTCTTTTATACCAGAGCCCCAGAACCCTAACTTCTTCTCAGAAAAAGTTTAGAGGATGAGATTGCCCAAGCTTGTGACTTGGAGTCAGACATCTGATCTCTGAATCTCAGTACTGCCACTTAAGCTAAGTGACTTTGGAGAAATGAATTAACATTCAGAACCATTCTTAGTCATCTGTAAAATGAGTTCAAGTAAATATAAAAGCATATCACATGAGAGTGTCTAGAAAAAGGTGGATGACTAGTGGGCACTGATAAATATTTGTTAGATAAAGGATTGCTAAATGAATCAGTGAGTAGATGAATGAGCCTTTCCAAAAACTGGCAGCCTGGCTAGAGAGGTAGACATAGCTCACAGACAGGGTGTTTAAAGTCAGTATATACAGACATGTGAAAAGACCCAACTGAGTAGGAGATTATAGAAGGGAGGGTGAATGTGGGTTGACATAGTCATTGAAGAAGGCCCTGTGGAAGCTCATCTCAGAAAGACTAGTGTTACTGATACGATAAATGATGCTCTCCAATTCCTATAGACGTTTTACAAGCATATGAAACACATGTATGTGCCTTTGTTATTTAAATCCTCTTAAAAATTGTTGGTAAGGTTGGACCTACTGGCCAATGTTAAGCAATGACAATACTCATAAATCAGCAATAATTTAAAGGACCTTCCAGAATGATCTCATGACCGCTAATCTCCCTGAATCCAGCTCCAGAACTATGTCCTGCTACAGGACGTAAGTGTCTTAAGGGCAGGTGGAAGGCAGAAGAGTCTGTGTACAGAAGAATATCTATAAAGAAAAAAAATAGCTATCACTTATTGATTGCTTAATTTGAGATGAATACTCTACTAATTACTTGCATCATCTCAGTCAGTCCTGACAACAAATAATACAGATTTTCTTATTCCTTTTATGGATTTTCATTATGAGCTGAGCAACCTTGAGTGACTTAACTTTTCTAAGACTCAGTCTCCTCTCTGTGGGGATAAAACCCACCTTACAGGGCTTTTACTATAATTAATGAGAAGATGCATGTACAGTGCCCACTAGCATTACTGTGGTTGATGTCAATGCTCTTACTGTTAATGCTTTTTATATTTAATTAAGAGATTATGAATGATTTCTTTTTGATTCCCAATCCCACCCCCCCACACATACACACCATTAATGAAACATTAGCCTGCTCATTTTTTATAGCATTTTATTATTCTGATGATCTGGTGTGCGGTTTGGCCCAGGTCCTCTGACTACTACTGGCTGCACGAGTCTTACAATGACCTGGTACTGCTGAAGAACTATAAAGAGTATTTCAAGGGCTATGGTGATGGCAGTGGTGACACTGTATACGAGAACTTCATGTACTTCAATGCCTATGGCACACGTGACATGGCCAAGGTAGACCTGCCTTCCAACACCCTGGTGCTGAATGGCATGCTGCCCGGCGCCGCCTATAACAACCGCTTCTCCTATGTCAGGGTGCCTTGGAAGGACTTAGATTTTGCTGGTGATGAGAAGGGGCTGTGGGTGCTCTATGCCACAGAGGAGAGCAGGGGCAACCTAGTTATTAGTTCTCTCAATACCAGTACTCTGGAGGTGGAGAAAACCTGGAAGACCAGCCAGTACAAGCCAAACCTGTCAGGGGCCTTCATGGTCTGTGGGGTGCTCTATGCCCTGCGCTCACTGAGCACCCGCCAAGAGGAGATCTTCTATGCTTTTGATACTAACACTGGGCAGCAGCACCACCTTAGCATCCTGCTGGATAAGATGCTGGAAACACTGCATGGCATCAATTACTCTCCCTCCGATCATAAGCTCTATGTCTACAATGATGGCTACCTGGTCACTTATGACCTCGGCTTCCTAATGCCAGGGCATAGGCTGCTGAGACCCCTAGCTAAGAGGGCTGTGGGGCTTTGGAGCCAGCAAAGTCTCTCACACTCAACAGGGCCTCCAGGCCCTGAGATCCCAGGGCAGAGCAGTGGTGGATACATGTCCTCTTCCTTGCTCTTCAAAGTGGCCCCCAGCCCTACCGATTGGGAGGCAATGATTATCTAGTTAGTTCTTTGTAATTAATATCTCAATCAGCACATTATTTTTAATAATGCTCTAGGTAGAATCGACTGGGGTTTAGTTGGGACACAAAACACTAGCTGAGAAATGGTACCCCCTCTTTATTGGTATCCTAGAATTGTAGGAGGTGGACTCATTTGTTTTTTTTTAAACAAATCTCACACTCAGAATTTTGAAAACTATGAATCCAGCTTTAACAACTGTAGGATTCTCTGAGCTGGGCTTAGAATCTTAGTCTCAGGTTGAGAGCCTCTGTTTCTAGTGCAGAAGATCCAGGGTTGCTGGTCATTACAGTGGATATGGAAGTTCCCTTTCTCACCCAGCCTCCTGTGGGGCACCTGGGGAGAAGAGGTGCAGTGCCCTGGTATGACAGTCAACATTTCATGGTCCGGTATCAACCTCATTTTGAGTGCAACTGAGAGAGGGGCACAGACCTGAGTCCTGCTCCAGGAAGTGAGCAAGTCAGAGCTGAGCATGAGAGAGTCTGACATGGAATGGGCTGGAGGTCCAGACATTCTCAATGAAGAATCCTTTGGTGCGATAGCAGGAAGCCTCCTGTCCAGCTGTCTAGTTCCTTTGCTCATCTTGAACACACTGAGAACATACAGGCCTGCACTCTGCTTGTCACTTATCTATCTGCATGGCGCACCTCCCCTGGAGGCACGTTGGATGGAATGTTCAAGATTTCAGACCCTAAAGTCTCCCCCGTCACACCAGAATACTTTACACACACTGTCTCATGCTTATACTTTCACATATACATACATTCAAAATCACATCTATGAATCCTCACTCGTATAGACCATATTTCCAAACATCCACACAGACAGAATATACATTGTAACACAGCCACTAACAGAAAATTTATCTTCTACCCAAATAAATATCAAACACCATCCTCAACTGAGAATCTGGCTTTTTAGTTGCCTAAACCTGTCCTGTTAGGAATTTAACTATTAACCATCTCCACCCTCACCTCTTGATTCACAGATCTCTCTCCACACAATGCTTTGACAGTTAAGACCAAGATAAGGCATTGAAACAAATCATTCTAAGAAATCTGCTATAGTGACATGTGGAGAAGACCAAGTAATAGTGAATAAAAAAAAATACTTTGCAAGTAATGGCACATTCATGTTAGTTTGGAATGCCCCTAGAGGGCGCCTAACTGGCTGGCCCTCTTCCCACTTCCAGGATAGGGGAATCTCTTTTTTGCATCCCTGGGAGCACTCTTAATTAAGTCTAGAGTCCCCAGCTCTAGACCCTGAGAAAAATACGACCTCCTCTGCCACGTAAGATTTTTGCTCTTGCTCCATTTTCCTTTCTAAGGCTTCAGTTTTACCAGATCATTAACAAAAGTAATAAGCTCCTTCTTATGGGAGGGATTCCATTCTTACCCACAGGTGTGTGGTTTTTATCTACAACTTCAGTGGACCCGACTTTTTATTACAAGCCTGACATCTCTACAAGGGACCCACACATAGTACAGAGAAACACACATCCCATATAAGCAACCTGGACTTTTTTTTTTAATAGTTCCATCCTGAGAACTTTGTCCCCAGTTTTATGGAAAATTGTCCTATTTAATTTCTTTATGGAGACTGAACCCCACCCCACTCTGCCAAATCTTCCTCCCTTCCCCAGCTAGTCCTGGCAGAGACTGTGAGGCTAGAGTTGACATCACAATATTCCTCTTCTGAAAGGGTTATGCCCTTGGTGGGTGGAGCAGAGGGAGAAGTCATTTCCACTTAGCCCACCTTGTACCAAGTATGAATCAGTAGCCACGACAGGTCTCGGCTGGGCCGCATCTGGAGAACTGGGGTCGGGGTACAACATTGCAAAATCCTTGGCCCCAGACTGGTGGGCCAACATCCCTTTTTGGGCAACAGGAAAACTAGCCTGTGGCCTGAGAATACAACACCTGAGACAGAAGCCAGCAGAAATATTTGCCTGCCCTCACTGCTTCTGCCCCTGCTTCTACCTGTCCTCGCACTATGCCACACACCGTTTCTCGAATACTCAGGATGGCCCAGAGTGGGCATATGTCAAGTCTGCCTGCAGGCAAGAACACCTCTTTGAGTATCCCTCGAGTGATGGTGAAGACAGCAGGAAAGCAGGAAGACTTTACGATAGCGAATGACACCTTGGTGAGGCGGTTTAAGGAGAAGCTCTCGGCTCACTTTAATGCCAAACGGACCAACTAGTGCTGCTCTTCATGGGCTGCCTTCTCAAAGACTGTGACACACTGAAGCAGAGGGGCATCCTGGATAGCCAGACCATCCACTTGGTCATCAAGTCCAAACAGAGCTCCAGATCCCTAGCCCATTCCGCCTGGAACCTGTCAGCCAACAAGCCCTGCCACCAGGACAGAAGCAGAAAAGGAAAAAGCAGTGAGGTACACCAACCTGCTGATGTGAGTTACCCCCGAGGGGAATCAGCTGTCTTCATCAAGCCTGATGTGCCCAAGGTGCATACCCAGGGCCTGGATGTAGGCAGTCCAGAGTGCATGACACGGGTGCTGCAGAATCCTAGCATCCAGCAGCCATTGTCCAACATGGACCTCATGAGACAGTTCATCTTAGAACACCCAGACATGCAATAATCGATGCAGCAGAACCCAGAGGCCTCACACATCCTTGACAATTCTGAGATCCTATGGCAGACTCTGGAGCTGGCCAGGAACCTTGCCATGATTCAAGAGATAATGCAGATCCAGCAACCTGTGCAGAATCTTGGGCAGCCACTGAACCCACAGTCACACGTGGACGTGGAGACAGTCCCAGATGGGGTCAGTGCCCTGGGTCAGAGCTATGCTGAGTTCAATGACCAAATGCTCAACAGCGTACAAGATCCCTTTGGGGGCAACCCTTTCACAGCTCTCCTGGAAGGACAAGTGCTGGAACAAGCCCAGTCCTCACCCCATCTCCACCATCACTCCACGAACAGCAAGACCATCTCCCACAGCTCCCTACAGCCCAAGTCATCTATTGTAGTTCTCAGGGTTTATCCTCCATCACCTCGGCCAGCACTGCCTCCAACAGGGTGAGCCATACTTCCAGGGCCAGCAGTGCCACTATCTCCACTGAGCGCTGTAGTCACACCTGTGCCATTGAGGAGCCAGCTAGGGTACCAGCCTTACCTAGCATAGAGCTTGGCCAGAAGCCCCAGGCAGAAACTACAGGTGTACCATCTTTCTAGATAGCCCTGGCCAGAAATGAGAGGATGATATACAGCTGGCAGATGAGCAGACCAGCTACCCCATCACAGGAAGTACAATCCAGTTTCTTTTAAACAATCCCTACCTGGCAGACCAGATGGTATTGTTCATGAGTGTGCCCCAGCTGAGGGAACAGGGGAGGCAGCAGCTGCCCACATTCCTGCAGCAGACACTGCTTTCTGAAGTACTGATGGCCCTTGCCAACCCAAAAGCTTTGCAGGCAATACTGCAAATGGAGCAGGGCCTGCACCTCTTGGTCACAGAGGCACCTGTTCTTCTGCCTTGGATTGTACCCTGCCCATGAGGCCTGGGTTGGCTTCCTGTGCCCAGCTGCGGCCACCCTGACACTGTGCCCTGGGGCTGGGATGCATCGGATATGGCTGAACCCAAAGGGCCTGAGTGCTGACACAAATCTGGAGCTGCCCTGCAGAGGCTGCAGTCCCTAGCTGGAGACCCTGCCTACTTTCTTCAACCCCCTGAAATTTGTATCAGCAAGCAAATGGAATCTCTTTAAGCCACGGGATTTGGGAACCACCACTCCAATCTGCAGGACTCATTGCCACTGAGGGAGACACCAGCGCTGCTATCGGCAAGCTCTGGAGAGTGCAGGGCTGCTAGCCACCGCACCTACCTATCTGTGTGCTACCTGCCTGCTCACCTATTTGACTATCTTACCTGCCTTTTCTACCTTTTCTAACGCTTCCGGCCAGAAGTTCTGGAATAGGAGAAACCAAACAATGCTTTCTCTGCTAAACGCTGGAACACAGGCCATGGCTAGAATATCTGTCAATAAAATGGCTACACCCATTTGCCCCATCTGAGGTTTGGCTTTTTTCTTTTGCAGAAAGGACAATTATCTATGTGTGATATTCCCATCTCACCTACAATACATACATGAACACACACACAGACCCCACATACATATGTTAACACAGAGAATCATCATTGCACACATAGGACCACATGGACACGTAGCATCAGACAGGTGTGCACGCATACACAAGCTCACACAGTCAAAGATTCACACACACAGGCATATGAAGTCAACAAATGGTACATGCAGTCGTGTGTATACAGTTATACACAAACACAGATGCATAAACAGAGCCATGCATAGAGGAAGACAGTTACAACATATCCATACAAAAAGGGAAAAGCACTATAGGGAGACCCAAAAATTTAGTCATGAAGACTTCCCTGATTTCTCAAGTCCAAATTGTTCAAGTTTAAAAGTGGAAGAAGATGGCCTGGTGGGCCAGAGCAGGAAAAACTCACATTTCCAACAGGTCTTGGTAAGTATTTATCCTCATAGGACCTCTCACTAATTCCCATTGTCACAGTCACAGGGCTTTATGTCACCAATCTCTCTCCAGCCCAGAGAGATGCAGCTGCTGTCACCCCCACTGCATTGCCCGATCAGCAGGCCTCCGGGGCATGTGGCACCTTCCACAGTATCACAGGCTTTAGCACATCCAGTGTTTGCAGCTGGCGTGTCTGATAGCGAGCCGAGGTCCCATCTCCTTCTCTTCCTGCCTCAATAAGAATATCCCAGACAATTGATATGTCAACAGGGGTGGTTCAATTATGCAATTATTAAATAATAAGCTCTTGCTATAATTTAATAAGTCAAATATTGTGGTAGGCATTGAATAAATAGCAGTGACAATACAAAGATCCTTTATTTATGGAGTCTCTTTGGTGGGGATACAGATGGCATTCAACTTAGCTCATGGATGTGTTAGGTGGTGATAAGCACTGTGAAGGAAAAAGGAGCAGGATTAGCTTTTCTACAAAAGGGAAATCAGGGAAAGCCTTTCTGAAAAGGAGACAGTTGAGTAGAAATCAGAAGGAACTGGGAGAGCTAAACATGCAATTCCCTGGGCGAAGTATGTTCCAGGCAGAGAAGGAACATAAGAGTGAAAGCCATGAGGTAAGAATGTTCTTCTTGTCTTTGAAGAACAAATAGGAGAAGGTGTAGTTGGAGTGGAGTGAACAACAAAAAAAAAAAATGGGGAGAAAAAAGAGGACATCAGAGAAATCATGAGGACTTTGTAGTCTGGTGAGGATTTTGGATTTTATTGGGAATGCAAGAGAAAAATCACCGCTGAATTTTGAGCAAAGGAATGGAGTGAGTCACCACAGCAATCTGGCTGCTGGATGGGGAACAGACTGGTAGCAGTAAAAGTTGGAAGAAGGGAAATTAGACAGCTTTGGCGACAGAGCAGGTGGGAGATGGCAGTGCCTAAACAGGGTGGCAGCAGTGGGTGATGAGAAGTATTCGGATCCGGGTCTGTAAAGGGACCCACAGAGGTTTATGCATTCCTACAACCACCCATCCTTGCCTCGACGTTGCCTTCAGCAAGCATGAAGAATGCACCCACCAAACTCCAAGTGCTCCCAGCAAGCGCAGTGCCAGAGAATGCCCACTCCACCACCAAGAAGGTCTCTGGAAAGAAACCATAGCTAAAGCTGACTCTTTACCTCATTATGACATCTCTAGCCAATTAATTAATCTAATTAAGCCTTATACCGTGTTTGCCTCAGTTAACATAGAAAGCTTAAGCGCTCCAGGTCATTTTTCTGATTCTCACCTCAAGAGGCTCTGAAAAGCCCTCATCTGACTCAGTTGTCCACTCACCATCAATTCTCCAAACCTTTCCACCCTACCAGACAGAACTCATAATGTAGCCACAGCAAAACCGTCACCTCCCTCCTCTCTCAATGCCTCCTGACTGTTTTGCTGTAACTGAAATCTGGCCTTCCCCCAGGACACTGCTTCTCCAGTGGGGGCTGCTTCTTTCAGCCTGGTGGACTCACACCTTTTGCTTCCTGACCACAGTTTTCCAGCTTCCACACTATTCTATAATCTGTCACTATAATCACTTTGGCATAATACTCACCTAGCAAACTCACCGTGGTTATATTCAACTCTGCCTAATCTCGGTGTAAGCATACAACTCTGCTGACTAGTCTCATTTAAATTTATTGTAAAAGTGTTAATTGGTCTGTTAGTAATTCTACTGCATTTTCCTACTCCAGCATTCCTCACCAGAATCTCATCAGAATCACTTGGAGGGTGTGTTAAAATACAGAGTTCTGGGTTTCGACCCACGGGTTTCTGATTCATAGGTCTAGAGTGGGGCCCCAAAGTTTTCATTTGCAAGTTCCCCAGGGGCGCTGATGCTGCTGGTCTGGGAGCCACACTTGAGGCTCCAATGCACTGGTCAATTCACCACCTTATTCTTTACGAGGATCATTTCATACCTTTTCTGTTCTTCTCAAACTTTAAATGCTCCTTTTTTTAATTTTCAGTCTCAGCTGATGACAAGAAGACAAACATGATCAGAAATGACTTCTACCACTAAGTGCACCAACTAATCTGCACCTGCACCTGTGCTGTGCCCCATCCTGTTACAATGAATAAACTATCAATGGTCCTAAATCAAGCTCTCTACTTGGGCACTTGATCCCAATCCCTGTGTAATCTTGTCTACGCAGTAACTTACTCTTGCAATTATTTTCTCTTTGTTTTGCAGGATTCTTTCCCTCATTGGATTGTTCCCATCAGAATCAAAACACAATGTAATATTCTCAGCGTAAGGAAAAACGAAACCAAAATGTCTTCATCCCCATATTCTGACACAGCCACCCTCCCTTTTCTCTACTCGGCATGCTCCTAAGGGACCCACGTCCTGTCCAACCCATTGGCTTTGAACCCCACTCCAGGTTTCCACCGCCACCACTCTTCCAGAGCCGGTCACATCACAGTCCCCAGCCCTCTCGGGTCAAACCCAGCGGCCTGTTCTCAGTCTTCACCTCACTGACCCACCAGGATCATTTGGTGCAGGTGGTCACTCTCTCCCTTCTGATACTCTTCACTTGCCTTCTCTCTCTTCCTCTCTCCCCTTTTTCTGACAATGTTGTATTTCTTCTTGGTTTCCTTTGCTGAATTCATCCAACCTTCCAGACTTCTATCTATCGTAGTGCCCAGGACTCAGTCTTTTTATCTCTATCCTTTTACTGTACTCATTGATCTCGTGATTGCAGATACTCTGTCACTGCTGATGAAGTCTAGACTCACAATACTGAACCACCTTCCTACACGTCCATTTGGATGCAAAACAGATGTGCCAAATATGTGTAAAACTGAACTCTTAAATTTTCTGTTTAACTTTATTCCCTGGTCATTTTAAAATTTAAAATTTGAAAATTTCAGCCAATCCATTCTTTGAGTTCTTCAGGGGAATAATAATATTTTAAAAAACATTTTAAAATTTCATGTCATTCTTGGTCTGTCTCTCAAGACTCTAGATCCTACTCATTGGAAAGTCAATACTTTGAATGTAGATAAAGAATTCATGGCTAAAGTTGAATTAGAGAGAAGACATAGAGAACAGAACAGAGATTGCTAGGAAGAAGAGCAATTCAGGGTGTAGCTGAATTTGGGCCTTAATGGGGACAAAGGCATTAAGGAGACTTTCTTAACTCTCCTACCTGCATCGGAGTCTCCACATACCACATACCAGGTTGTGTGGTAGCAAGACTATTGGCCTAAGAAGGGTCAGCCCAGACCCCCTGTGAAGAAGGCAACTGAGATAAAGGGAGAAGATGAGTTGAAGAGTAGAAGAGATGGAGTCCTCAGGGATCCAGAGCCCCTTGGCAAAGAAGTCTCAAGGAGCCATTGTATGAGGCTGTGATGTCAGAGCTGACATCACAGAGGCGACCTGACAGAGTGACTTCTGACCAGAAGGCTTCAGGGGTGGTTATTAGCAAGATGAGGGCAGTGTGGAGCCCTGTATAAGAGGAAGGACAGGGCTACAGCTGATTGGTATGTATTCCTCAGACTGGGCCCTTTTTCCTGACTTTGCCTCTTTACTCAGCAACTAGAGACCTCTTTCCCAGGGCCTCAGGTTTCCCTCCCCTGATCCTGATATCTCTCAAATCCATAGTCTTCCAAAGCATCCTATCCCAAAGGCCTCACAGCCCCTTCCATGTGGACACTCCAGCTTCCCCACCCCAAGATGCCAGGCCCTTTTCCCAATCACATTTCCTACTCTCATCACTGCCCAAAAGGTGATCTTTGTCTCCCATCCCCATCCCTCAGCTGTGTCCCCACAGACCTGGGCCTCCTGCTGCCCGCCATGGCCAAACGCAGAGAGGCACTGCCGCAGGGCAGCCCAGCACCAGGCCAGGATCCTCAGCTCATCAAGGTGATAGTGAAGACACCCAAGGACAAGGAGGATTTCTCAGTTATAGACACTTGCACCATCCAGCAGCTGAAGGAGGAGATATCCCAGCACTTTAAGGCCCACCCTGATCAGCTGGTCCTAATCTTTGCTGGCAAAATCCTCAAGGACTCTGACTCATTAGCACAGTGTGGAGTGCGAGATGGCCTCGCTGTACACCTAGTTATCAAGATGCCACGCCACACCCTGGGCACTGAGTGCCCCGCTGCTTCAGTCCCCACCCCAGCCCTAAGCCCTGGGCTGCTCCCTCAGCCGGGCTCCATTTACTCAGCAGAGAGACCACCCACCTTTAGCTTGGGTGTTCTCACGGGCCTCCGTGGGCTAAGACTGACCTCTGGTAGTTTCCCCAACCAGCCCAGCTCACTCATGTCTCAGCACGTATCTGTGCCTGAGTTAGTGGCTCAGATCATTGATGACATCTTCACCCAGGGTCTGCTATCTAACACAGGCCTTGTGTACCAGCTGATTCTCAACAACCCCCACATGCAGCAGCTGATCCAGCACAACCCTGATATTGGGCATATTCTCAACAACCCTGAAATCATGCGGCAGACGCTGGAGTTTCTACGCAATCCAGCTGTGATGCAAGAGATGATGCGTAGCCAGGACCGGGCGCTCAGTAATCTGGAGAGCATCCCCGGTGGCTACAATGTGCTTTGTACCATGTACACAGATATCATGGACCCAATGCTTAATGCTGTACAGGAGCAGTTTGGTGGCAATCCCTTTGCTAATGCCACTACCGTTAATGCCACCAGAGAAAGCTGTCAACCTTCAAGGATGGAGAATTGTGACCCTCTCCCTAACCCTTGGGCTTCCACCTATGGAGGCTTGGGTGGCAGACGAGGCAGGGGGCCTGGAGATGAGGCAGTATCCGAAATTAGAAATAGGGTCTCCAACATTCTGGGTAACATAGGGCTCTATGACTATCTCCAGCAGTTCCATGAGACCTCTCAGTCCCTGGGAACCTACCTGCAGGGGTCTGCATCCACCCTCAGCCCCAGCCAAGAACCACCACCACCACGAAACCGAGCTCCCCCAGCTCCACTCTCATCCCAGGAACCTAAGGAAGGTCAGCCTCTCCCCAGGGAGTCAATAACAATCAAAGGACAGTCATCCTCTCCAGCCTTCTTGAGATACTCCACAGAGAGCAGTACTGGACAGGACAGAGGCCAAGATAGTGCAGGGAATGGCTCCGACGGCCACAACGCCAAAATGCCTGATCTCATCTCAGGGCAGGGGAGCCCTGCCCACAGGGGTCCATCTGTTCCTTCCCTACCTTCCACCATGGCAGCTTCTCCTGGGATCCCTGAGCATGCCCTGCTGCCACCGCCAGCTTATCCAAGATCTCTGAGGCCAGCCAGCCTGAATCCTGTCCCACAGCCGCAGGATGAAATGCGCTGCCAGCTGCCACTGATGCTGCACCTTCAGGCGGCCACAGCCAGTCCTCGGGCCGTGCACGCCCTGCTGCAGATTGAGCAGGGTCTGCAGACCCTGGCTGCTGAAGCACCTCGCCTCCTACTCTGGCTCATGCCTTGCCTAGCAGGGCTGGGAAGTACAGGAGGTACTGAGCCGAGAGAGGGCACCGTTATGCCTGAGGATCCCCCCCAGGCCCCAGCCCCTGAGGTTCCCACAGCACAGAGCTCTCTGGGGCTGGGCCTCCACTCTACCCTCCTCCTCCAGATGTTGCAAGCCCTGGCTGCAGCCGATTCCCAGCAGCTGCAGCCCGAAGCTCACTTCTGGGTACAGCTGGAGCAGCTGCGGGCAATGGGCTTTCTGAATCCTGAAGCCAACCTCCAGGCTCTCATTGCCACCGGGGGTGACATGGATGCTGCTGTGGAGAAGCTGAGGCAGTCGTAGGAGCCCTAGGTGTTCAGACCACATCTTGTCTCTGTGCCCTTTCCCCACAGCCACGACCCTAATGTCCCCATTCTTGAATGCAGTTGCACTATGAACCAAATTCACTATGATGCCCTTTACTGCATAAACAATGTTGGTGCAGTCAGTGAGGAAGAATGAGAGCCAGCAACAGGGTGGGGGTGCTGTGTGATCCAAATACCTCTGCCACTGTGCCATGATGGGGCCCCAGTCTGAGCTCTGCTTATGCCTATCTTGAGATGCAATTATATCCAATCTCCAGTGTCAGATGCTGCCTAAGTCTGATTCTTTTGGTCTGTGTGAAAGGGGGAGGATACGGGAAGAGAGGTGGGGGAAAGAGCTGTCTCTGCATGGTTGGGAGAGCTTGGTTGGGAGAGCTTGGAGGAGAAGCTAAAAGGGCTAAAGTTAGAAGAACTAGAGGCATGAACAGCAAAGGGGGTGAGCTCAGCCCTGTGGCTTTCCTGGTGTCCTTCCAGATATCACTCAAGATTGGTGCCCTATAGAAGCTGCTACCATGTGCTCTGTTCTTAGGGGCTCTCTTCCACCAGCCTGACTGAAAAGGGAGCATAGTTTCTTATTTTTCTTGCTGCTGAAGACTACCTCTCAGGGAACTTTCACTTTCTGGGTTTGATGCTGATCCCTGAGTGGATATAGAGTAAGCAAGCATTCAGGCTGAATTTTAAGATTTCCTAATCTCACCAAGTTTACAAACTTACTCCCCCTGGTAGCCAGATCCAGACAGCTGATCACACTGTCATGGACTCAGCCTGTCCTGGGTTTTGTCTTTCTTGCAATTCCCAGTTCAGAAACTGAGTGAGTACCCTGTGCTCAGCATCCTGCTAATAATTTGAAATTCAACATGAGTTAAGAAAGATATGATCCTGCCCTCATGAGTTTATGATCTGGTAGCAGGAACTGTTCCAACTGTGAGTATTTGAAAAGCACTTGTTAATATATAACTAAAAACTATGAAAAGTGCTGTGAAGTAGCCTAAGGGGCTGGAACTAGTTGGGGAGACTTGAAAGGTTCCTGTAAGTGCTTCAAGCTAAAATCTTAAAAGTGGTAAGGGTGGAGCTGGGAAAGATCTGAAGGGGGAGGGAAGAGTACTCCAGCAGAAGAGCCATTATGCACGAAGACGCCGAGGTAGATCGTACATAACACATAAGAGGTGCAGCTGAATCTCAGATTTGGTTCTTGTTGGCACTTGGGGGCACTGACCATTACCCATGTACTTCTATGGTGAAAGTGTTAGAATTCATAAGTTGAGTGACCCATCCATGCCTTCCAGTACACATAAATGCACCTGTGAGCTCACATGAGTGAAACACACAAATGCATATTCATACTCAAACACATCTTTATCTGGGCATACCTTTGTACTTGTGTACAAGCATACAAAACACAGTCTGGTCCTGGCAAGGAAAGAAAAAGCTCTTTGATGGAGGACACCACCAGGGTAAACATGGCTGTCGTGCACAGTCAAACATCAGAGACTGTATTTAATTGTCAAAGGATTCAGATCCTTTGGGACCTTGGAGAAATAGAACCTCTGCCTGGAACCCAAGATACAGTAAGTGGACCAACTGCCATTACCTTTTAGCTACCAGTGTGTGACTCAGAGATGAAACGCGTTTTTGGGGGCAGACCTCTCCAACTACTCTAGGTCTCCTCCTGTGGAGTAGCTCACTAAACATACCTTCTACCCCCTCCGCTCCCCATCAGGGTGTGTGGAAGAGAGCACTCATCCAGATCAAGGAACCTGTTTCTAGTGGTGCTAAGGGAAAGGAGAGGAAAACCCTGCCTCTCCGTCTCCTGTAATTAACAAGAACTTTGAGGCTGCCTCTGGAGGGGGAAGAGGTCCAATGCAATCTCTAATTTCAGTCCTCAGCAGAGGGCTAAGTCAAATATCTGGGCCTTGGGAAGACCCGCATGAGGGAGTTGTGTGGTAGGAGAAGAGAAGCAGAGACATAATTCTGATCACATTGGGCCAAGTGCCTCACTCCTCCTAGTGCCTCACTCCTCCTAAAGAAAATGCAGCCTTTCTTCAGACCAAGAGATTTTGCAGAAAGCAAAAATGCAGTGAAGCAGCAATGCTGGTTTGCACCACAAAAGCTGGCAGGTGGACAGTAATTTAAGGAAAAGGTACTATCCAAACAAGTGAGCTTTTTTTTCCAGATATTCCCCTCAGTCATAAATATGGCCTGCATTTTTTCTAGATATTTTAAGGTTTCACTACTTAAATTTAAATAGCATTTAACACTTATCGAGGCTTCCTATATGCTCTGAATATAGGAAGGTTCCAAGCTCTTTACATCTGAAGCCACACAATACAATAGTCCTTCCTTTTGCGGGTAGTATGATTTCCCTATTTTTCAGATGCAGGAAACTGAAGCCTAGGGAGAGGGAAAGTACATTGCTTAGTTAGTTCCATGGAGTGGAGCCAGGATTTGAAATTAGGCAATCTACTTCCACAGACTACACTTTTTACTACTGCACAAAATTGTTTATTAGTGTTTTAATCCTCACCCATAAAAAGCAAAGAAGGGCAGGGTTTGTGGAATTCATTGGAATTTCTGCATCACTGGCTCCTGCAAATCTCTGCACTGGATTAAAATATGTTCTTTACCATATCCTACACATGTGTATATGTGTGTTTATGGGTTTTTACATCTGCTAGTACCAAACTTCAATTATTTTAACTTTGAAATATTTAATGACACAAAGTTTAATGCTTGACTCATTGTTTCTTAACTAAATATCACTGTCTAACTTCGTTTTTGCATATACTGTAAAGTAGATGCCCAGTTTTAGGAAAGGCCAAATGCAACCTTGATTGGCTTTCTGTTACGTTTATAAATTAGAGGAGAACTGAGAAATTCAAGTAGGCAGTTTTTCCTTTTAGAATAGGGAATGCTTCCACTGAAGTTTAATTTGTTTCTCTTTAAAGAACTATAGTTTCTTCATATAATTCTACACATTTGAGTTTATTTAAATGTTACATTTTGTTATTTTGAGTGACAATTTTTGTCTGTTATATGTTCAGAATGGATATTATTGTACTGTCATCATTTACATTATGAATCCCTATTTTAGATATATTGTTGATTTTCATGTAAGCAAGCAAAGCATTGTTGAAAAAAATAGTCATAAATCCTCCACTCTTAAAATAGTTAAACCTCTTCTCTAAAAACATAATTTGATGATGTTCTCTCAGTTTAAAAGCCATATATATATATGTATATACACACACACACACACACACACATATATATATATATATATATATATATATATATATACACGATCATTTCATAGATGATAAAAGCCAAGCTTAAAAGGGCGACAGGGCTAGGGAGGTAGGCATGGGCCAAATTATGAACGTTTTTTAATCTTGGTAAGGCATTGAGATTTGATTCAAGTACAACAGGAAAATATATATGTGGGAATAAGGAAAGTAAGAATATAAAAACCAGCAGTAACACCACTATCCCAAAAGCACTGCTAATACCACGATGGTTGTCCTTCCACATATTTTACAAAATTGTGATTATATTGTACATAGTGTTTTATAACCTGCCTTTTTATCTTGATAATGTATCATGAAGCTTTCTTTCCAAGTTATTAAATATCCTTTTGTAATTTATTAACTTAATATTTCCTGAACACTTATATGCCAGAAACTATGAAGGTGCTAGGAGCTCACTGGCAAACAAGACAGATACGGTTCCTGCCCTCAGAAGCTTAGACTACAGTGAAGATAAGAGATTTCAAACAAATAAGAAAAAGAATAGCTAACACAGAGCACTAACCGAGAACTAGGCACTGTTCTATAAGATTTACTAATTTCTTAACCAATTTAGAAGGTAGGTACTATTACTAATCTTATTTTACAGATAAAGAAAGGCTTAGAAATGTTAAGTGTCTAGTCCAAGGTTGCACAGCTAGTAAATGGTGTAGCTGGAGCTGGTATTTGAACCAGTGTTTCTAGAGACCACTTCCTTAATCTCTGCATCACTTTCTATTACATAAATAATTGAATTATAATTGTAATAAATTCACACAGGAAATAAGGTATTTTGCTTGTGCATATAAAGTGAGGAGGGATATATTTTTAGAAGGGTGGTCACCATGTATCTCTCTGGAGGGAGTATTTAGGCAGAGACTTGAAGGAAGAGGAAGCAAGACATTCAAAGAGCTGGGGGAAGAATGTTTCAGGCGGAGGGCAAAGTGTAAAGCGTTCCCTGAGTTATGGTAGAGCTCGAAACATCTGAAGGAAAAGGAGAGAAGGCCAGCGTGTGCGGTGTACAGAGTATGGGACGGAGAGCACTTCAAGGAGAGGCAGGAAGAAGGTTCACAAGTCACACAGGGCTCTGTTGTCCAGCCACAGAGTGTGGATTTCCTGCTCATCTCATGTGGAGCATGAATGAAATGGTGGCAGGCGTGGAAGCCGAGTCAAGTCAGAGGACACTATAGTCATTCAGATAAGAGCAGGCGTTACCTTTAGACTAGGGTTCTTGACAAGGGCATTTGGCAAGACGTGAATGGTTGAAAATGTATTTTGGAGATAGAATTTACAAAACTTTCTGATAAGATGAGCTAAGCAAGGTTAAGGAAGGAGAGGAACTGAGGATTCATTTTGTTATTCAGCTAATTTTAATTGAACATGCTCTCTGTGCCAGGTTTTGTGCTAGGTGAGGGAGATAGGAGGTATTCAAGATCACAATGTCCTGCTTTCACCGAGCCAAGAGAAAGGAGGCAGACATCAAGTAGTCAAGGGAGTTGACCAAGTAAAGGCCAGACGCAAGAGTTCACAGACACAAAGGACATCAGTTAAAAAGCAGGTGCGAGCCTGGCATGTACCAGCACAAGAAGACTGCTCAGGTGCCCCTGGAGCAGGGCGTTCAGGCGATGGGGCCAGGAAGGCAGGCATGGGCCGAAATATGAAGGCATTTCAATCTTGGTGTTGGCAGCCGCGAACAGAAAATAGCGCCCAATGCAGGGCAGCCGGAAGGCCCCGAACTTCCTAATGACAAATCATCCCACACCACTAAACTACATGCTAATTGCGCCTTGGCATAAGGACCAATGAGACCCACCAAATGGTTATGCTAATAAGGCATATGGAGCCGCACCAACCAGGTCAGAGCATGAGAACTATATAAGCAAGCCTCTCCTTCCCCTCTGGGTCCTGCCC